GTTGTTTTTATTAATTTTAAAATACATATAAAATAATTGCAAATATTAGTTCACTTTAATGATGCATTTTGAAATCAAAATATTTACATAATAAAAATAAATTACGAACAAAACAAAAATTAATCAAGTCATAGAGAACAAATTGCAAAATAATTTATTTGCTAAATTTTCAATACAAATTATATTAGTTAATAGATAAGAGAAGAGAAAAATGTTGATGTATGTATATAGTCAATAGTCAATAGAAATCTATAACGGTGGGTAAATACAGTGGAATTGGTATATACTGGACTTGTCAGTATATTAAAAAAAGTTTTGAGTTGTTTTAGCTTTTATTCAAAATAAGAATACTTTGCTGCTACCTCATAAGCCTCCCTAACTGCTTTGACGATTTTCAAAACCTAGCTGAAAAGGTGTAGGAGACGGAAGTCACAACCTCTTATCATGGCCGCCATAGCGCCTCAGTATATCAGATAATATTATTTTCGCCTTTTCCATAAAATGACGAAATGGAAAATTACACCAAGATACTTCATTCTAGCAGGAACAACGATTATCTGGCACACGTGTTCAAATAGAGTACCCATTTCGTAAATTAGTCGAGGCCTGGTTGCTGGATCAACTAAAAATCCCATGTCAATATACCATTCTGGCAGACTGTATCAAAGGTTTTGGCGAAGTCTAAACAAAAATTCGACTTTACGAACTTTAGCAATTTATGAAAAATTGAGCGCAGCTCTATCCTTTAGAAAAATAAAGTGACATCCTAGGAGAATCTGATTATTCAAACTGAGGTTGTATTCCTGGACTGGGAGAACCTTCGATTACCCGTGAAGGTGATGTTCTGAGATAATTTGTAAGCAGCCTGACTTTGCTAGTGATAACTTCAGGTTTCGTGATAACCATTCACAGTCGAGATAATCATTCACAAGAACACACAGTTCATTAACGTTGTGGCCCATTGTCGTCATGATAGTACAGTCGTCCGATATAATATCGACGCCTTGAAGAGGTGCGGGGAGAAACGTCCTTTCAGAGTGCCTATGCTGCTTTAATCCTTGTGAGATCTGATTGGTAATGGACGTTAATGCTGTTAGGCAAGTTGCTGCTAGGACAGCACATCTAGGAGGGCTAGAGTTTCAAGAGCTTTCAGGCGACAATTGATGGAAGAGATATAGTCCTGTATGATTGTTCCTCTGGCACGTCTTTCTCAGGTTTTAGTACTTGAATGACTCTACCCTTTTTCCAAGTGTAAGTGAATATGTTGAAAACAATCGTTAGGTACTCAACTTCCCGCTCGCAAAGTTTTTTTTTTAAGATCAGCATGGCTATTTCTTTGGGGTCAATCGCCTTAGATGCAATTTCAGCTGGTGTATAAGGTAGGCAGGTTGTGAAGAGTCGAAAATGGGAATGTCTGGAAAGCTAATAGATATCTTCTTATCCATCTTTGTCGGATTGGAGAGAGAATTGTGGAACACAACTTACTAAAACGACCAAAGCTCGAGTTGTAGTTCTTCAATTGATCTAGGCATCTCTTCGCTTGTCCTCATTTACTAACCTGCTGATTTTCGGACTCTGGATAGCTTGAGTTGATATTTCAGATGTCATTGCGTTCACCTGCAAGTCTAGCTACTTCTGATCAGGTTCTGAGATGACTATTTCACAGAACATTCTCTCTTATTACATATTTCACAAAAGTTCGATTATTCGATAATTTCACTACAAATTAATTATTTTAAACAAAATTTTGATTGATCGAATGTGCACTGTATGTTGTTCTTATTTCTAGTATACTCTATGATTTATAGTACCAGGACTAGCTGTCAATTTGTTCTCAAAAACCTTTCCATTTTGACTTATTCATAACATTTATTTGAATTAGTACATTTTCAAGCTCAAGTTGAATAAACTGCCATAATATTGAATTATTTATTTACCTCAATTACGGATCGTTCGTTTCTTTATTTATTTATTTTTTTTTATTAAATTTAAATAAAAATCATTGACTTTGTATTACATTTGCATTGAAATTTATATGTGAAAAGCATTTATAATTAGTTAATTATTGCAAGTAAGTTTTGCAATCATATCCAACAAAGATTTTAATTGAGTTTTCAAAGAATAAAAAAAAAATATTCTAATTAAATGGAAATTAGATGTCAATAAGTGTTGCAAATTGTGTGTCTATTGAAAATGTTAAATGAAAAATATATAACAATTAAATTAAGACCAATAAATGTCATTAGTTGCAAAAAGTTATATTGATTTTATTAATGCTTAATAAATGATAAATTAACTCAGTAACTTAAAAATAAAAATATTGCAAATTTATAAACTGACAAAACGTCTGCTAAAATCCTTTTTAATATTTTTTTCAATTCTATTATCTTTCACTTTCGTTTTGCCTAACAGACAATTAGTTACAGTAACCCACTGACATATATTTTATATATCTCTCTCTGCCTATCTTTACTCATTTGTTTATTTACATACATATACATATGTGTCATTTTAACATTTAAAAAGCATTGTACTTTGCTAGAATTTTAAATAAGAAAACAATATTTATTTTTATTATTTATAATAAAATAAAAAAAAAATACAAAAAAATATAACATCCAGAATATATTACACACACTTCAGTTTAAAAATTCTAGTCAACTCCATGTATCAGTTGACTTTTATTGTCTTCAATTGTGAACTAGTTTTTATTTTTTAAACCGCGGCGATAATTTATGCAAAAAAAAACACTAATTGAGTAATACTGATCTGAGAATTTTTCCATTGAAAATGAAAGTGAATTGCAAAAAAATGGGATATTTAAAACGGTAAATAGTTGGATTCGATAAATACAAGAATTAATGTGGGATTCTGCTTTATTTATGATGTGATCAAACAACCTATATTTAACGATATTATCCACTTGCTAAGGTTTGATTTCCCCTAGAAATTTCAGACGCTCTTTTAGTGTCAGACAGATAGATAGATTGGTAGATAGATAGATAGATAGATAGATAGATAGATAGATAGATAGATAGATAGATAGATAGATAGATAGATAGATAGATAGATAGATAGATAGATAGATAGATAGATAGATAGATAGATAGATAGATAGATAGATAGATAGATAGATAGATAGATAGATAGATAGATAGATAGATAGATAGATAGATAGATAGATAGATAGATAGATAGATAGATAGATAGATAGATAGATAGATAGATAGATAGATAGATAGATAGATAGATAGATAGCCTACTGGGATTAATAAGCAGTATCCTACCAATAGCGGCAGTTTTTGAGATGAGCGGTACATAAGCTCGATGATTGTTCTTTGACAATGGAAAGTAAATGTACCATCTTAGTATATACCCTACCACAGGGGAAGCCCTCAAGAGAGGAGCAATTAGAAGAATGATGCCTTCGTGGATTCTCCAATCAGAAAGGCAGGAGCGTTTGTTCTATATTGGGCGGCTTACTGGTCTACGTCTGAAGCCAGAAAGAGCTGAAGTAATTCCAACGACTCGTCTTAAAGATCAAGACCAGTAAGGTCTTAATTGATGTATATTTTAAAAACGATTGAAAATTATCAACCCACGGTGATGAAACTCTACAGAAATGGTTTCTAGACTATGATCAAAACCGCCTCCTCCTCCTCTTAAAACCTGGCAAGTCTTAATGTGCGCTCGACGTTCGCGCCGTTTAGTTGGTAGTGTAGGCTCGAGTGATATTACCCGAAAACTTATACTGTAGAGATTTTATATGTATATAGGCAGCGAGAAGCAGCTTTTGTTATTGCGACCATAATACCAATTAATATACTGGCAAGGGAGACAAAATGTGCGTATGAACTGAAAGGTTTGCTGAAGTCTGAAAATGCTATAAGAAATATCCGAAGGGACAGAAGATTGTCGACATCAACAAAGGAAAAATGGACGTATTAACTGATTCCTGATTCCCTGATTCGATGTGGCCATGATCGATTCAGATCGTATTTTTATAGATTTGGACTCGACACCTCACCGCTTTCCTAGCAGTCCTAGCAGTGTCGAAAGAGATAAGAATGCTGATCACAAGCTCTTTTATTTTCTTGGACTTATTTCTGGAAGGGAAAACCTTTAACAACTATTGGTATGCAGAGTATTAAGGTAATATAGTCCAGTTTATGTTGGTTTCATTGCAGACTGGAAATATGTACGAGAGTTTAAAAAACAGGTTCTCTTAGACTTATGCAGAGAAGAGCAGATACGAATAAGAATGTAACTTATAGATAAGGCGCGTGTGATAAGAAATACTTTTGCGGCGGTTCTGCAGGGAATATGGTGCAATGTTTGGAGGTTATTTTAACGATGATTTTTTCCCCGTTAAAAATATGGATATCTTGGGGGCGATATTACTCCAGATAATTATATCTTGAAATAGAAAACTTCTTGGGAAATACGTTCAGAAAGAACTTTAAAAAAAGTTTTCAAACCGACTTGTGTAGCACAAAGCAACCAACACCAGACACGGATTTCTAGCATAAAATCTTGTTTATAGATTTATAGACTTATTTAAAATATATCTCTAAATTAATTAATAACTACTATTTATTATATCAAATAATTAGCATAAACAAATTAAAAAATTTACATAAAAAATGGTTTAGAATATTATTGTATTAAATGAGAGGCAACATTTAAATCAATCGAAAGTAGTAATAAATAACAGTTAGTTTTATTAAATAAGGAAATATTTGTGGATTAAATTTCAAATAATTACAAAACTAGTTTTAGTCTGTCGAATTGCTATAAAAAAATGGTATAAAAAATAACCCACTGTGCAAGACGACAACATGACATACAGCATCAGATAAAATGTTAATTATTAACAAATTAATTTTAATTGCAACTAATTATATGATGATGTTCCACGACAATATTTCAATCACAATAGTAATGCAATAATTATTTAAAATTTTTAAAATATTTAAGAGAATTTTATTAAAAAAACTTACCTTTTTGCTTTGGCACTTTAACTTTATAGGTGAGATCCTTAAATTCTATATCAATATTGCGTACGATACTGGTGTTTTTCAACATTTTTGAATTCTCCATTTCTAACTCCATTGTGTTTTAAATTTTGTTCTTTTCACCTTCGCTTTTTTTATAACACTTTTAAATACTTTAAGATTTTCTTTCAAAATCTCAAAAATTTTCAAAATTTATTTCAATTTATAACTGGCAAATGTATAAAAACATATTTTTATGGAATTAACAAAAAAAAAAAAACTGTTGATTAACTGTAAAGAGAATGAGAAAAAACGATAATAAAATTTAGTTAATAATTTCAATATTTAAGTGTTTTAAAGGGCATTGAATAAACAAATAATATTGTTAATTAAACAATAATTACAATAATAAAAAAAACTACTATTCACTACCAGTTAATCAAACCTTGACTTTGAAAATACTATGTTTGAAAAAAAAAGTTAATAAATAAATAAAATAATTAATTAAATTTATACTGAAGTGCAGTCAACGTTTTTCTTGGCTGTGGTTTTATTGTTATTTATTATTATTATTAATATAATTTTGTTTTATTACCAACAATTGTTGGTTTTCTTAATACAATGTAATAAACCATTTGTCATTAAATTAACATTTTTAAGAGCCTTTTAGATGACACATCATGTGTATAATTTTTATATTTTATCAAGTTTAAACAAAAACATTAAAAATTAACCGTTAATTTAAATATTGGGCAACTTTAAAGATTAATGTCGGACATTTCTTAATAATTAAAACCAAAAACACCCGAGCGTCAAAATGAAGCAGCATATATTCTATAGTCCAGACTATAGACTATTCTATAGTCCATACTATGACTATTCTGTAGTCCAAACTATAGACAGTTCCATAGTCCTGACTATAGACAGTTCCATAGTCCAGACTATAGAGAGTTCTATTGACCAGACTATAGACAGTTCTATAGTCCATACTATAGACAATTCTATAGTCCAGACTATTGACAGTTCTATAGTCCAGACTATATACAGTTCTATAGTCCAGACTATAGAAAGTTTTATAGTCCAGACTATAGACAGTTCTATAGTCCAGACTATAGACTGTTAAAATAGTCCAGACTATAGACAGTTCTATAGTCCAGACTATAGACTGTTCTATAGTCCAGACTATAGACAGTTCTATAGTCCAGACTATGGACAGTTTTATAGTCCAGACTATAGACTGTTCTATAGTCCAGACTATAGACTGTTCTATAGTCCAGACTATAGAAAGTTCTATAGTCCAGACTATAGACAGTTCTATAGTCCAGACTATAGACAGTTCTATAGTCCAGACTATAGACAGTTCTATAGTCCAGTCTATAGACAGTTCTATAGTCCAGACTATAGACAGTTCTATAGTCCAGACCATAGACAGTTCTATAGTCCAGACTATATACAGTTCTATAGTCAAGACTATAGACAGTTCTATAGTCCAGACTATATACAGTTCTGTAGTCCAGACTATAGACTGTTAAAATAGTCCAGACTATAGACAGTTCTATAGTACAGACTATAGACTGTTCTATAGTCCAGACTATAGACAGTTCTATAGTCCAGACTATGGACAGTTCTATAGTCCAGACTATGGACAGTTTTATAGTGTAGACTATAGACTGTTCTATAGTCCAGACTATAGACTGTTCTATAGTCCAGACTATAGACTGTTCTATAGTCCAGACTATAGACTGTTCTATAGTCCAGACTATAGAATGTTCTATAGTCCAGACTATAGACTGTTCTATAGTCCAGACTATAGACAGTTCCATAGTCCATACTATAGACAGTTCTATTGTCCAGACTATAGACAGACTATAGAAAGTTCTATAGTCCAAACTATAGACAATTCTATAGTCCAGACTATTGATAGTTCTATAGTCCAGACTATATACAGTTCTATAGTCCAGACTATAGACAGTTCTATAGTCCAGAATATAAACAGTTCTATAGTCCAGACTATAGACTATTCTATAGTACAGACTATAGACAGTTCCATAGTCCAGACTATAGACAGACAATAGATAGTTCTATTGTCCAAACTATAGACAATTCTATAGTCCAGACTATTGACAGTTCTATAGTCCAGACTATATACAGTTCTATAGTCCAGACTATAGACAGTTCTATAGTCCAGACTATAAACAGTTCTATAGTCCAGACTATAGACAGTTCTATAGTCCAGACTATAAACAGTTCTATAGTCCAGACTATAGACAGTTCTATAGTCCAGACTATAGACAGTTCTATAGTCCAGACTATAGACAGTCCTATAGTCCAGACTATAGATAGTTCTATAGTTCAGACTATATACAGTTCTATAGCCCATACTATAGACAGTTCTATAGCCCAGACTATAGACAGTTCTATAGCCCAGACTATAGACAGTTCTATAGCCCAGACTATAGACAGTTCTATAGCCCAGACTATAGACAGTTCTATAGCCCAGACTATAGACAGTTCTATAGCCCAGACTATAGACAGTTCTATAGCCCAGACTATAGACAGTTCTATAGTCCAGACTATAGACAGTTCTATAGTCCAGACTATGGACAGTTCTATAGTCCAGACTATGGACAGTTTTATAGCCCAGACTATAGACTGTTCTATAGTCCAGACTATAGACTGTTCTATAGTCCAGACTATAGACTGTTCTATAGTCCAGACTATAGACTGTTCTATAGTCCAGACTATAGACTGTTCTATAGTCCAGACTATAGACTGTTCTATAGTCCAGACTATAGACTGTTCTATAGTCCAGACTATAGACTGTTCTATAGTCCAGACTATAGACTGTTCTATAGTCCAGACTATAGACTTTTCTATAGTCCAGACTATAGACTTTTCTATAGTCTAGACTGTAGACTTTTCTATAGTCCAGACTGTAGACTTTTCTATAGTCCAGACTGCTCTATAGTCCAGACTATAGACTGTTCTATAGTCCAGGCTATAGACTGTTCTATAGTCCAGACTATAGACTGTTCTATAGTCCAGACTATAGACTGTTCTATAGTCCAGACTATAGACTGTTCTGTAGACCAGACTATAGACTGTTCTATAGTCAATACTATAGACTATTCTATAGTCCAGACTATAGACTGTTCTATAGTCCAGACTAAAGACCGTTCTATAGTCCAGACTATAGACTTTCCTATAGTCCAGGCTATAGACTTTTCTATAGTCCAGACTGTAGACTTTTCTATAGTCCAGACTGTAGACTTTTCTATAGTCGAGACTACAGACTGTTCCATAGACCAGACTATAGACAGTTCCATAGACCAGACTATAGACTGTTCTGTAGACCAAACTATAGACTGTTCTATAGTCATGACTATAGACTGTTCTATAGTCTGGACTATAGACTGTTCTATAGTCCAGACTATAAACTGTTCTATAGTCCAGACTATAGACTGTTCTATAGTCCAGACTATAGACTGTTCTATAGTCCAGACTATAGACTGTTCCATAATCCAGACTATAGACTGTTCTATAGTTTAGACTATAGACTGTTCTATAGTCCAGAATAAAGACTGTTCTATAGTCCACACTATAGACTGCTCTATAGTCCACACTATAGATTGCTCTATAGTCCACACTATAGACTGCTCTATAGTCCAGGCTGTAGGTTATTCTATAGACTATTTAATAGCCCAGACTTTTGACTACTAGAAAGTCCAGGCTATAAACTATTCTACAGTCCAAACTCTTTTGTATTTTTAAATATTATTTTATTTTACTAATCTCAAATTTCTTACTATAGAAAATCAATTAAACTGTCTATCATGTTAATTATTATGTTTTTACAATATTTTACAATTAAATTGTTAAGTTTTTTCAATAATAAAACAATTAAACAACAACTCTGAACAATGAATAAATGTTATTTATATTCAGGAGATGAATATATCTAACTATTGTCGTCTATGTAATAAATTGACTTAAGTGATTTTTTTTTTTCTCAAAACTGACCAAGACCTAATTTTCCTCAAAAGTTCATCAAGCTACTTTCTCCATACATAAATATCTTGTAAAGTTATAAAGTTAATGTTTCTTATTATCTTACATTTAAGTAGTTCAAAGTTTCAACAAAAAGTTTAAAGAAAATAAAACAATTTTTAAAATTTCAGTTGAGTCATTAAAGTGTCATGTAAGTGACTAAAACATTGCTTGCATGTACTAAATAGTATGTAGTATGTAATAGTTGTTGCAACTTAATAATAGCAATTGTTTTCAAAGTTAAGGTTAAGTTTAATGATTAAATAAAATGTCATTTATTATTTTAATTAATGTGTTGTTGTGTTTATTTTTATAACTGTATTACAAAATGTTGATAAAAATATGTAATTGTTTTAACAGTTTTCCAAATGTAGTTTTTTATTAATGGATTACACAAAAGTTTTTTATGTATAATAATAAAAAAAATTGCATTGTGTTTTTCTAAATATTAACTACAAGCTGTTAAATAAATAAAAAATAAGATAACGGAAAATATTAAATTATCACAATTAGAAAACTATTATTAGAGTATAATATTGGAGATTGGAATTTTAACCCTTACTAAACTTAACGGGTTCTATATATTGCGTTTAATAATTATTTTTTCCGTTATTTTTTATAGTCTGGACTATAGAATAATTTAATTTAATAAGTCTGGACTGTATAGAATAGTCATAGTCTGGGCTATAGAGTAGTCTACAGTCTGGACTGTAGTATAGTCCATAGTCTAGACTGTAGTAAAGTCTGTAGTCTGGTCTATAGTCTGGTCTATAGTCTGGACTATAGAATAGTCTACAGTCCGGACTATAGAACACTCTTTAGTCCTGACTATAGAATAGTCTATAGTATGAACAATAGAATAGTCTATTGTCTGGGCTATAGAATAGTCTATTTTCTAGGCTATAGAATAGTCTATTGTCTGGACTATACAATAGTCTAAAGTCTGGACTATAGAGTAGTCTACAGTCTGGAATGTAGTATAGTCTATAGTCTGTAGTCTGGACTATAGAATGGTATAGTCTGGTCTATAGAGTAGTCTACAGTGTGGACTGTAGTATAGTCTATAGTCTGGACTGTAGTATAGTCTACAGTCTGGACTATAGAATAGTCTATAGTCCAGACGATAGATTATACTACAGTCCACTCTGTAGACTACTCTAGTCTGGACAACAGAATAGTCCATTTTCTGGGTTAAAAAATGGTCTGTACTCTGGACTATAGAATAGTCTACAGTCTGAACTATA